TGGACAGGCCTTCTCTGAGCAGTCGTCACCAGTGAAGCCACTGTCGCAAACACATTTACCGTCTACACATCTTCCGCGGTCGTAGCAGTCATTAGGGCATGTTTTTTCCGAGCAATCTGGCCCGTTGAATCCATCATCGCAAACGCACTCCCCATTTATACAGCGCCCTCTGTTGTTGCAGTTTCCAGGACAGGCAATCTCAGAGCAGTCTGCACCGGTGAAGCCACTCTCACACACACATTTACCGTTTACACACCTGCCACGTTTGTTGCAGTTATCAGGACAGGCCCTTTTGGAACAATCTGGTCCAGTGAATCCAGCTTTACAGACACACTGTCCATTAACGCAGCGCCCCTTGTTGTTGCAGTTTCCTGGGCATGAATTCTCAGAGCAGTCAGCACCAGTGAATCCGCTGTCACACACACATTTACCATTTACACACCTTCCACGGTCGCTGCAATTGTTGGGACATGCCTTCTTGGAGCAGTCTGGGCCGGTGAATCCAGGATTGCACACACACTGTCCGTTGAGGCAGTGCCCCTTGTTGTTGCAATTTCCAGGACAGGATTCATCTGAGCAACTTGGACCTGTGAAGCTGCTGTCACACACGCACCTGCCGTTCACACACCTCCCACGGTTGTTGCAGTTATCGGGGCAGCTTTTCAGCGAGCAGTCGGGACCAGTGAAACCGGGATCACATACACACTGTCCGTTCACACACCTTCCGTTGTCGTTGCAGTTTCCGGGACAGTTGGACTCGCTGCAGTCTGGTCCACTATAACCAGGGAAGCAGACACACTTGCCGTCCACGCAACGACCCTGATCGCTGCACTCGTTGGGACACTCGTCGATCTCTGGTTTGATGGAGCAACCTGCACCTGAAGGAGAGGGAGGGGGAAAGAGTGGAATAGACAGATAGGTTAAACTGTTTTTAGGGGGGATGTACTGCATTTGTACAAAAGGCCATAGTGAAATGTGATGATCTACGTTGGACAATAGTCTAGACTATTGTCTGATCTGTCTGATTATCTAATTTGTGAATATCTGGAACTTTTTGTACCTGTAAATAAAAGTCTACTTTTAAATCATTTGGCCTTCTTCCATTTTATCAGTCTTATATTCTTGTTGTTATCTTTTTGACAAATACTTGTACTCCATCAGTTTGGTACCAGATGTACCAAATGGACATAGCTTCAACATTCTGGGATAATAGAAATAATGTCAGTGATTAAAGTTGATTTTCAGCAGGTTTTGATATTGTTCTGTGTGCATTACTGTTGAATGTGGCATGTTGAAGTGGTGGGGGCATAAGACTTTAAAGGTAGAAAGAAACAAATAGAGGAAATTAGAAACAGAAAGAACATGAGAGTGCCATGGCCTTGATGTGCTGACATTAAGAGCATCTAAAAACAAAATGTGTGAGGGGTGGCGAGATGATGAGCTAGAGGAACAAAAACATATTTCAGATCCATAAAAATGTTTTGATGTCTTGTATTAGCTTTTTTTCTACTGGAAATTGTACCCCTTCAGGCTTCTGCACAAGTGTTTAACAGATCAAACAACATCCTGATGATTTAGCCATTCTAAGGGGGGTACAAAGGACAAAGAAAATTAAGGCGGTTTACCAAAACCATAAACCTTCAACATCTGACAATCATAAGCCTCCCTAAGAAATCTAGTAGCCAGTAGTTGAGTAATGTAGCTCTAAAGTGGACTGTTGGACTACCATCCTCAGGGCTCGCCTCTGTCAGGGCAGTGATGGAAGCTTTGGTTTGCCGCAGTTTAAATAATGGAAGTTTATGTCTTGAATGAGTTAGAACAGAAAACTCTTCATTCATCATCCTGATTTAGTATTTAGGGGGGTGGGATGATGGCAGGCGGAGGTCTAATCTGCTCTAATTAAAGTGTAACGCACTAATTATCCCCCCTTGTGTGTGTATGTGTGTGGTTGTGTGTGTGCTGTTGTCGAGAGGAGGGTGGAGGGAAGCTGCACTGGACTGGGAGGAGGTTGAGACTGAGATCACACTGGGCAGACAGCTGAGGACACACACACACACACACGCACACACACACACACTGTAGTTAGCTCATGCTTTAAGCTCTGCCAGTTTATAACGTGATCAGTCCTGAGGTCAGCTCCACTCTGACAGAGGACGTGAGTGATGGACTGAATCTCACATAATTCTGTCAAACATAATTAAAGTGACACACACACACACATTCAGAGCAACTAAATACATTTACTCAAGTACTGAGATTAAAATCAGAGTAAAATCAGTGTTTGTTCTTGTTCCTGCAGTGTGATGTTTGAATGATGTCTGTGCCGTCTGACACTAGAAGGATGTTTTCGCATTCATCTTCTAAAAGTGGAAAGTTTCTCTGTCCTCAATGAAAATCGGATTTTAAGGTGCGGGGCCTTCGAGTGTGATTTTTGACATCACAAATAGTTTGGTCTAGTATGCAACGTATACAGTGAGATCCACCAGAACACTGAGAATGGACTTTTACAGTGAAGGAGGAGACATCTTGTGTCCAGCAGGAACACTTAAGAAGTTAACTACATCTCCATATTTTATAGATTGTGTATTTTTTAAGGAGGTAGAAGGAGTAGATGCCTTTTTAACAATTTTAATATGAGAATTAGCCCGACTGATATATCTGTTGACCAATTAGTTTTTGGCCAATCGCAGACATATTGGTATTACATCTGTATCAGTATGTGCATAACAGTGACTACAGATTGTGGTAGGAGGCGTAAATTCATTCTTCTTTTTATCCAAACTTTTCCTTTGTTTTTGTTTCACTGTTGTTGATTTCCTTGTGTTTTGTTTTTGCGTGTTCACTCAGTCTGTTTATGTGTGTGTTCACTATAAAAGAAAAAGGAAGGGACAGACAGTATTAGAGTTTCATTCTGCTCTCAATAAAAATAATTGTTAAAAGACTAAATTTGTCATCTGTCTGCAAACTCTGCAGCAGGAGATCGATGCTGTCTGTGTGTGTGTGTGTGTGCAGGATGAGTCAGTGAAAGCAGCAGAACAGTGAAGTAATATGAACTCATGCGATTGGCTGACACAAAGACACGTGCACACGATTGGGCAGATTGTGAGTGAATCTGCTTCCAGCTGTAATGAAGAGTTACAGCAGAAAGAGATGAATGATGAGATGTGAGGAGAAATATATGAACTGAGAACTGGAGTCAGACCCAACTTGTATTGATTTAATATTTGAACAATTATTAATCTGAGGAAACTCCAGAGTGAGGCTCTGCAGCCAGACGCTGTCGTGTTAATGTGGGAGGTTGTTTTGCTTTGCTCAAAGGTAACTTGGCCATCAGTGTTAAAGGTCCACTGCAGCGTGTCACCAGTGCTTTTATCACATTATGAGATACTAACTGTGGAGATCATTCATTTAGATAACATATTAAGCATGTTACAGGTACAACATAATAATATTATTTCATATTTTTTCATATTACAGAAGATTTTGCTAAAAAATTTTGCTTAAATTGTTTCCCAGAATAGTGAGGAAATCTTGTGAACCTTTATGTGCAGTATCATCACCTGATAAGCCTATGGGTTAAGTGTTAATGTGAGATGTCACTGAAAGAGATTCTGTTTGCAGGTTTTGAGCAGATATTTCAACAGAGAGTTCAGCAGTTCTATAAACACATGCTGTGCAGCAAAGTAACAACACCAAACTCCAGATGTGTCATTACAGATGATAATGGCTGAAAAACATTTCATTGGTATACAGTGGGTTCTTCTGGTTTGTTTTGTTAATAAAACCAAAAGAATTATATTAGGTCATAATGAGAAGATGTGTATTTGTATTTGTTGTCATGGTGCAACACTTGCTAACAGTGGTTAGCATGACTGCGGTCAGATTTAAAAACTATAATCATCTTTCTTTCACATGTCCTAGAGTCCGATTTGGGTTCAGGATGGAGGTTTTAAAGTACTTATAAATGTGGATGAGAGGGTGGTGTAGTCAATCATTATAAAACAAAATACTTTACTTTTTTAATGAAATCAGAACAAAGCTGCGTTTGTATTTATCCACTTTAACATCCATCCGATACCATAGCACTACTTTTTGTGAGTGGAAGAGTCAAATGTCTGAACACAGATTCCAACACTGTTATCTTTAAAGGGTTTAAACATGACAACAATAAACATAAAATTGCAATGCCAAGCGGCAACCTCTGTGGCTGCAAGTGAAGCCAATACTGAAGTAACAGAAACTGCAGATCCCGTAACGGCCACTAGAGGTTGGCTCCAGCAGTGAGTCAGTCTCCATAAAGCCCCATATTAAACTTTACAGCAGGAATAAACATGTTTACAGCCTGGTAGAAAAATTGGGTTTGGTCTCTGTAGCTAATTTCCCCGTTCATGAGAACTGTACTCTAACTCACCCGTTTAAATTATATGAATGCTTAAAGTTACGTATAATTAAGGATGTGGTCACTTTGAGTGACAGATGGGTGCAAACACAGGCAGCTGTTTTTAATAACCAGGCTTCATTCAGCTCCACCTGTTCGCCCATTTTTGGATTAGCTGGCAGAGTCAGGACTGCCAAGATGGTGGCGGTCACAGCCAACCACACTGAGCTCCACTACATGGAAGAGTAAGTGTACTGATATATTTTTACACCCCTAGTGGATGAAGATGAGCTCGCTGAGATACACCATCTCGTTTACAAGTGGCTCCTCAGACATGAAAACATGGAGATTAACATTATTTGTTCATTCTCAAGGATACAGGCTTTATCTTTATCTTCTGTTTTGCGCTGCGTCCCTTTGTGCTCAGGCAATAATCAACAGAGCAGAAATGACACACTGGAGATTTATTTTATTTACAACATCAACAAGAAAGACTTTGCTTTTAAGTGCTTTATTGGATTTATTTCTTGGCCTGTTAACACTCTACTGGAAAAGCCTTAAAGACGACATGATTGTCTCTATATTGAAGCAATTAACTTTGGATTGATGGGAAATCATGGGACCCCTGAGGGCCCCCAGACTTCGTTTTGATTCCCACTGACTGTCTAGACAAACTAATGGAGGTTAAAGGTCCTGAAAATGTATTTTCTCAATCAAGCTTCTTAGAGAAAGCACACTATAGTCGCCCAGAGTGGGAACAGTTTTGGTGATTTCACATTACAGATTTCTGTATTCATGTTTTTGTCACGTACATTTTTGTGGGTTTATGTTTTTTTTTTTCTTTTCTGGGCTTTAAACCTTAAATAACTGATTTTTTGGGCCACTTGAGGGCAGCAGAAAGAAGTTGTGAAAACATCTTTGACATATTGTCTCTTTTTAAGTCTTTATGTTGACTTTGTTAGCAAACTGTTTGTTATTCCAGCATCCAACTGACTCTACCTTTGCTCTCCTTGGAAGTGCAACAGCCTCCATCAGCTCCTCCACATTTCTCCCGGAGGGCCGACACCTCCCTCTCCAGCCTCTCCAGACGCTCCCGCAGGGCAGCAAAGTCTGCCTCACAGCCGCAAGACCCGGATCCTGACCCTGATTGGACCAGTTTGATCTTATGGGTCAGGATCAGAGGAGAACCAGGAGTCAGGTCGATTTCTTTACCTGAGAAACAGAGAGAGGAGCAGGCTGAATTACACCTGAGTGGAGAACTATACTTTTACTTGTAACAGAGTATCTGTACAGTGTGGTATTAGTACTCTGACTTAAGTAAAAGGATCAGAATACTTCCTCTACCGCTCCCAGTTCTGATGAAGTTGTTAGAAAAATGACATTTGTTGACAATAGTTTTTCACTGCAGGTTTTTACCTCCCTGGCTGCCGTCGGAGGAATCACCCTGAGTGGCGCAGCCCTCGGAGATCACCACCTGTAACAATGACAGTGTCAGGGCCTCATCTTAAACCCTACAACCCACTGATGGGTTTGAAACACCAGTTATCAGAAACAGAAACTGTATAAAACAGAAATGACCATCTTATTCTTAAATTTTGGATTGTTCTTGAATGTGTGATGAACGCTTCCAGCAGCAGAAACAACCAAATATAATCTTAAAATAGTTATATTTCAGCAAAAACATTTTATTCTACATTATTCTCATTTAAAATTAGCCAAAAATAAATTGTTTGCAGTAACGAGACAGTCAGGTGACAACAGTTCAGCCAATTAGACTGAACTGCAGGCTGTGTTTACAGGGGAGAGGACATGAAGGAGAAGGATTCATTAATGTGAGTATACATATACATATTTTACATTTATATATACATAGATACATACACAGATGGTAAAAGAACAAACTTTACTCTTCTTTACATCTACAGATAAAAGACTGTAAACGTAGAAGTACTGATTCAACTTCTTTACTCAAGTAAAAGTGAAAAAGTACAGGCTCTGAAATTTACCCACAGTATAAAAGTAAGTTAGTAATCATACATCTGTCATGCACTGGTCTTGAAATTGGTATACATGCAATGATGCAAAAAAATAATAATAACACTCAATGTTTTATAAAAAAAAAGTAGAAAAATAATTTAAAAAAATAGAAAAATAAATACTAATTTATATTTATATATACACATTTATAAATCCCCTTTCCCCCCAATATTGGTAACACTTGTGGGCACTTTGAAATTGTGTCTATATATTTTTTGTGAATTAAAAAGGAAACTTTTTCTGTTGTGACTATTAACGGCATAATAACTGTGTTGTATTGAACAGACGACATTTAAGTTTTCTAGAAATATGACAGAAGCAAAAACAAACAGCTGGTTCGAGTCACACATTGCAAGACAGAATATCTCTTATTATTAAACTGGAGGGTTTGTCCATCGATCTGTGGACCTGGTATAATCCACCAGTCCAACGACTCACCTTTATGGAGTCCTGCTTGGTGTCCCTCGGTGTCCTCTGACCTCTGACCAATAACTCCTGCGAGGTCGATGGGGTCAGGAGGGCCGGAGCAGCCAGGAGGAAGACGAGGAGGAGGGAGGGGACGAAGGGACACATGGCCGGGGTCGGACCGGGAAAGTTCCTCCTTGGAAGGTTGTTTAGGAAAGAAAGAGGGAAGAACTGCTCAGGATATCTGAGCTGACTGAAGCTGATCGAGTTTTAAAGATTATCAGCTCTCGGTCTGGAGGTCAGAGTCGTCTCTGTGAGCTGCTCTCAGACTCTACGGAGGTTGTTTTTCATCCCACCTCTCCTTTGTACTGCAGGGATTTTCCCCCTGAAACAAAAGAAACACATTTAAACCCACCGTTAAGTTTCATGTTAGCTCAGCAGACTCCACTTTGGTCACAATTAGCAGAAGTGGAGCCATTATCTGTTTATGGGCTCGTCGGTGTAGCTCGTCAGCCATTAAACCACAATGGAAAAACTAACCTGGTCTGAAAGACTCATTTGTTATCCGGAAGACAATTTTCTAACATTCATGCATGATGACGACACACAGACTGATCATTGTATTGATCTGTTGCACCATAATGGGTTCATCTGTCTCAAATGGATCTGATTGGTATTCACACAGCAATGGTCAAAACTAATCCCGGACAACTGGAATGTGTCTTAATAGATTTATAATTTGGTTCTCCAGAGCTTCAGAGCGTTTTAGGAGTTTGGACAAATTAAATCACTTCACTCATGTTGTTGGAATCTTAGAAAGCTATAAAATAAATGTTAGGAAGCAAGCAGAAGTGGAAGAAAGCGCAGGGAATAAAGGCTGCTTGAGCCATTACTTAAGTTACTGTGAGACATTTTTAAGACCTTTTGAAACTGGCCATCCAGTGGCGGCGCCATTACTGCGGTGGCATAGTGACAGTGTGACTGTGACAGCATCATTACCATTACATAGAAAGTAAAGAGAGAAGTAGAATATTGTACACTTAGGACGGCTTGCATCCAAAACTCGTGTTTACTTCCGCTATGTCTCCGGATTCATCTAAAGTCAACCACAGACAGTATTTATATTATATTATTAATACATTCTTAACGAAATGATTTTTCCAGTATAAAGAGTGCTTTTGGTGTCATTGAAGTTATCCCTGAATTTTCCCCCGGCAGCACCATACAGTAGCTGAGAGAAAATCCACAAATATGAGTCAAACAGTAAATGAACTAACCACCGTGTCTCCCCTGAGAGGTTTAATAACCAAAGCTGGTTAATACTTGAGATCTACTGTGTTTCCTCCATCCAGGTTTGAATGCAGAAACCAGCTGCTCAGAGTTCCCAGTGCTGGTCCGAGTCCAACAGCCTAACATCATCCAGTCTGACACGTGAAGAGCAATTTATTAGTTTTACGCAATTTGGTCATGTTTGGTCTCAATGGACACAACAGCCCAACTACTGTCCTCAAATAAGTACTGTAATTATTTTCAATAAGAATTTATCCTCACAGGACATTTTTATTTTACTTGTACTCAGTTTAAACATCAAGGACCAAAACGTTTCTCTAAAGTGACTGAAAGTGTGCAGGATTCTTTCGTTTCTTTAATGTTTTTATTTACGCCTACAAGTTACTTTTAAAACAACATAATATCACATATTAGTAGTTATTTTTACATTTGAGGGTAATAAGTTACTTTACAGTATTACAGTACTGATTGATCTACTTTTACCAAGATAACTGCAGAAGTACAACTATTGAAGTTATAAATAGAAGAGGCTCATCAAAGCACCAAAGCTCAAGTTTATTGCAATTCATCACAAATCCAGTAGTGGGTGCTATTGTACAGTTAACGAAGGAGCACAGATCTGACCCATTCGTACATTCACATTAAGCGATTAACGCTTTGTATTAACATCAGCCGCTTAAATTAACAATAGAAAAACATGAACGCTGCTATCTAGAGCCAGTGTTTGG